GATTATTTATTTGCAAAATTTTATAAGAAAAACACTTTTTTTTCAAAATGTTTGGACTTTTTAATTTATATAGCAAAAAAAAAAAAAAATCTCAGTGGTAAATAAATACCACCAAAATAAAGTTTTATCTGTCTCAAAAGAATGCTAAAAAATTCATATGGGTGTAGTGTTGCATGACCGCGCAATTGTCATTCAAAGTGTGATAGCACTAAAAGCTGAAAATTGGCCTGGACAGGAAGGGGGTAAATGTGTCCGGACTTAAAGTGGTTAAATAAATAAAAGGTTAAAATATTACATTGTAACATGGTAGCTCTTTTTCCCTTCTGGTTTAGACCTATTAATAGCATAGCAGGTACAAGTGGGGGAAAAAATAGGAGAAAATATTTAAGGGATTTCTATGGTCACGCATTCATTTAATAACATAAGCATTTTAATAAAGACACAAATAATAGTTATATTTGATAATCCATCATACGCTTACTTGAAAAATATTTTTTTGTGAGTTCTGCCTGTCTGCTGGTCATCTCTTTCCCAGCATGATTTTCAGCTTCTCCTCTGCTTTTTACTTTTAATTTCTAAGGACTACATATCCCATGGTACCTTGCTGCCTGCAAGCAGTAATTCCTGTACTGACTCAGAAGGCAGGCTCTGTGAAATGTGTGACACAGCAGAGCCTACTCCCAGGACATAGTGAATGTGTGTCATAGAATTCAAAGAAGTGTGTGTCTTCACAACGTGCATTTACAAACTTCAAGATTGTTCAGATTAATAGTAGTAGGCTAGAAATAATTAAAATACAATGTAGAAATCAATATATGATTTCACATTGTGACCATAGCTAGGCTATAAATCCCTTTATACGTGAATGTCACACATAAGGTTATCAGACAGTCTGGTTGCTGTAACTGCTGTGTAGATCAATAATTGCTCTGCGTCTGTCTGGTTTTTCTCTGCATAGCAAACAAATCTTCGTTCATGCTGCCCCTCCTGCTCTGCTGGATGCCATTGCTGTCAGTTTACAGCCAGATCCCACAGTGGCAGTGGGCCTTCTCCTGTATTGAGTGGCAAGTCGTATAATGACATGTAAACCGGGCATAGTCCAATTGTACTGGTGATCAGAGGCAGACTGACCATTTGGAAACTCAGGCACTGCCCAAGGGCCCAGAGTCAGTAGGGGACCCCATGAGATGCTCCTGGTATCTTTTTCATAGGCTTTTTTGAGTTTGGGCAAGGGACACAGGGGCCCCATGATCCCCTATTGCCCGGGGGCCCCATGAGTTTTCAGTCTGCCCCTGCTGGTGATGATGCATTCTCAGACGGTGGATCTATGACACCCTGGGCCCACAGGAACTGGATTGATTGAGGCCAATGTCATTCAAATATAAGACTAATGGGAACAACAGGGTGGAACAGACATTTTGCTCAGGGCAATGTTGGATTAAAGATAAATATTGTAGCAAAAGTTAAATTTTTTTTTAAATGGGCAGAGCGATTAATTATTTCTAATTATTTCTTTTGGAAACTGGAGTTTTGTGTTAAAAGCTGGTTGCTTGAATTTCATAAAACCCACTCCTCTACATAAATGGGAAACAGAACTACAGTTCTTGGCTACATATGCACAGTAGGAAAAGCCATAGCTAATAACTGTGCCTTCTCAAAATGTGTAAATCACTGGGAGACGGCCCCAAAAAAATCCACCTTAGGTTGCACCTTACACCATACTCAATTGCTACATTTTCAAAGACTAGCAATAATCTTTGTTGGAAGGAGTGCGAGCAAGTAGGGACTTTGGAAGACATGTTTTGGTCCTGAATAAATATTTGTAGCTATTGGAACGCAGTGTACAGGTTGATTTCTGGGGTGACAGGTGTAATCAATAAAGGAGACCCAGCCCAAGCACTTATAAGTGTTAATTCAGACCGTTTCCAGTCTTTGGTGAGACCCTTGGCCCTTAATATTTTGTATGCGGCTCACCTAATCTTCATCAAAAAATGGAAATCTAGTGCACTAGCTAACATTTCTGAAGTTAAAAGTGAAGTATAGGTTTTTTTTTTTAAAATCATACTTACCTAGGTGCTTGCAGCATTGGTCTGATGCTGCATCTGTCCCCCTCTAAGGGTGAGAACAGCAAACACATGCCCACTGATTGGTGAGTTCTCACAGCCGCTGTCTGCTTTGCCCCCCCCCCCCCCATGCTCACTGGAGCACTGGGCTGTGAAGGGGGCGGGAACGGCTGGCTTAGGCTCTCAGCAACTCGCTGAGAGGCTGAGCCAGGTACCACTCCAGACTCTGGGTGGATCCGACTTTAAAGTGGTTGTAAAGGCTGTGTGCTGCAGTGCCCCCAGCCCCCTCAATACTTACCTGAGCCCCATCGTGATACAGTGATGTGAATAACCGCCTCGGCTGTCCGGGGTCCCTGCCTCCTCATTGGCTGAGACAGTGAGTGGGAACCATTGGCTCCCGCTGCTGTCAATCAAGCCTGTCAGACAATAAGGAGAGAGAAGGGGCAGGGCCAAGCCACGGCTCTGTGTGTGAATGGATATACGTAGCAGCAGGTGCCCCCATAGCAAGCTGCTTGCTGTGGGGGCACCCGACAGGAGGAGCCAGGAGAGTCTGCGGAGGAACCCGAGAATAGGAGGACCCAGGCTGCACTGTGCAAAGCCATTACACACAGCAGGTAAGTATAGATATGTTTATTTTACAAAAAAAATGAACCTTTAGAATCACTTTAAATTCAGGATCTTTCCCAAGCCTGGGCCATCTGAGTGACATCAACCAACAGTGGGCTTCAGCCTACTGTCAGCTGAAAATAGGTCACAGGAGTGCAGAACGAACTGTTATCCTGTGATCCACAGGAGAAGTACAGCCAAAAGAGCTTTGGCTGTACTTCTCCTTTAAGTCCCAATTGGTTGTGATCTATGCCTACGAAAGACTGATCACATATCTACCATAGATGGGAACTGTGGAAAGATTTCAGGCGTATTTCTTGAATTGTGGAGTATTTTATAGTTTTCTTTAATGGATGGTTATATTACCTTTATCTATGTATTGGAGTCATGTGACAAAGCCATTGGAAATGAACCTTGTCATATAGATGGACAATGATGTCTAACGTAGCATTGCCTTTATTATAGTCATTATTGTGCTGTATTGTACAACCCCGATGTAAACTATTGCTATTTCCTTTGATGATTCCTTGACCAAGTTGGTCATTGTTGTAATTATTTGTGCAAAAATTCAATAAAAACTATTGGAAATAAAACCTGGCTCCTAACATTTTTCTGCTCTATCAAACAAAAAAGTGCTGGCTGGAAAATCATAACTACCTGTTCACACTTTGGGGTTTATTTACTAAAGCTGGAGAGTGCAAAATCAGAATCACTCCAGCGTGGAAAGCAATCAGCTTCTAACTTCAGCTTGATCAGTTAAGCTTTGGGAATAAAACCTGGAAGCTGATTGGTTTCTGTGCAGAAGTGAGCCTGATTGTGCACTCTCCTGCTTTAGTAAATAAACTCCATTCTGTTACTGCTTTCCTAAATCTTAATGAAATGTTTCAATCCCCTACATTAATAGTGCACAGTGGGTTAGATTTACTAAAACTGGAGCGTGCAAGATCTGGTGCAGCTGTGCATGGTAACCAATCAGCTTTTAGCTTCAGCTTGCTCAATTAAAGTGTTACTAAACCCACAACAGTAAAATCATCCTGTACATGCAGTAAAATATGCTTGTTATGTACACTGTGGAACCTAAGGGGTTAATCCTCCACATTGTGTAAAAATATTGTTATATCCTGACATCTCTGATCCTCCCCTTCTTCTAGTGTCGCCCTCTTATCTCTTGATGAGACATAAAGTGTGGAGACACTCTGCTCATGCTCAGTTTGGTGTGTATTGCTGCAGAGGTTTTTTTTTTTTTTTTTTTTTTTTTAGGAGAGTGCATTTGATCAACACATGGCCAATCAGCACTGTCCAGACAGAGGTCAGGGGTTCTGCATCTTCCTAGATCAGAAAGAAAACTCATCCTACAATCTTTAACCAGTTCTCAGCTGAAGTCACAAGACTGCTCTAACTGCTGATGATAAAAGGTATTTAGCAGTTTATATTTACTAAAATAATTGTATTTCCATGTTCTCAGTACTGTGGGAGATTGGATATAGTGAATGCAGGGTCCTGGGTTTAGTAACACTTTAAAGCGGAGCTCCACCCAAAACGGGAAGTTCCGCTTTAAGGACTGCTTCCCCGCTGACCATTAAGGATTGGCACCTTTGGGGAGCGGGGGAGGGAGCGGTTACCTGAATTTGACAGGTACTTGCTCCCACTTCTGATCTGATCGCCTAGGCAATTGGAAGCGGAAGGTGTCCTCCCTCCCTCATTGTAGTCTTTTGGGACACGTGACAGGTCCCAGAAGACTACAGGACCATTCATGAAGAGCAGCGCTACTCGCTCCTTGCTACTTGCGCATGCGCAGTGGGTACCCGGCTGTGAAGCCGCAAGCAGTCACAGCCAAGTGCCCACACTGAAGATGTCGGCCTCCTGGAATAAAGGACGGCTGGTGAAACGAGCTGCAGGGAACACACCGAGGGACAGGTAAGTAGCTGTTTTTTAAAAGTCATCAGCTACAATTTTTGTAGCTGCTGACTTTTATTTTTTGACAGGGTGAGTGGAACTCCGCTTTAAGCTTTGACAAAAAAAAAACTGGAAGCTGATTGGCTACCATGCACAACTGCCACCAGATTGTACTCTCTCCAGTTTTAGTAAATCATCCCCAGTGTGTGCACAAATTCAAATGAAGATCTGTTTGTCATGGTGTAATGTAGATACTCGTGACTCCACTGCCCTCTAATGGTCACATTCAAACACAGCATCTCTAATAGAGATGAATGGAAGTGAACCAACCAATGAAACGTTTTTATGTAAATTTTCCTGATCGAGAGGCTTGGAACACATGGAAATGCAGGTCGCACTTTACGGCAGTGCTGTTCCTGTAAAGTAAGCGGCAGCATGGTGGAGTCTGTGATATGTGCAGGCACTGTGAGCAGGTTAGGTGACATGGTTAGATTCATTTCTAAGTCTGCATAACGTTGTGTAAAGGGCACCACTGGCATGTACTTTGTAATCGTTACAGGAATTATTCCAGGTGTACATATATTTGTAATGTAGGACTGCTAGTTTTTTTCCTCTTTTTTTTTTTTTTTTTTTATTTCATTTTGTTTACATATACTTTTATATTATGATTGTGGTAGCAGCTAGAACTACTTGTTGTATTGGGTGTGCAGTATGGGGATCAATGACATTTATTTCCTTTATGCAGTGGTTCTCCTTTTCTCTATCTATATGTGTATATATATCTATATGTGTGTATATATATATATATATATATATATATATATATATATATATATATATATATATATATATATATATATGTGTATGTATGTATGTACACATTAATTTTTAGTTTGTTTTTTTTTTCAAACACTTTTTTCAACTGTCAAAGCTTTCACCATTTTTGGCCTAGACAAGGATGACGAAGCTCCAGCTGCCCACATTCTCCTGCGATACCTACATCCCCCGGGAAGCTTTGGGCACTGAACCCCACTATCTAGCGCACTGCACATACATCATCAAGGGGCCAGCAGGAGGAGGCAACCAGCCCCCAGATGATTTAAAAAGGAAGATGCAGGACGTGACATGCAGCGATGGAGCAATGAAATACAGGAGACAGCGCTGAATTCGCTGGGCAGGTGAGTATGTGTTTTTTTTTTTTTTTTTGGTTTTTTTTTTTTTTTTTTTTTACAAGCCAAGGTAAAATGAGAAAAAAAATGCAAGGGGGAAGGAAAGTTCCTCTGTAGGTTAGGTGCAAACTAATGCGGTGTAAATGCAGACAGTTTTCAAGTACGATTTAAGGAGCACCGCCCGTTCAGTCATTTTTGTAATGTGTTTTTCATGCTATTTGGCTACAGGTGCAATTTGGATGTAGGGGCCTCTCTCTCTCTCTTTTTTTTCTCTCTCTCTTTTTTTTCTCTCTCCTCTGGAAATCAGGTCAGAAACACAGCAAAGACTTATCCAAAAAGTGCTGGACCTTGCATTGTATTTGAACAGAGCAGCATTTCACAGCCAGTTTATATTCAACTCCATGGAACTCTAAATCACATCGCACCCCTCCAAAGTTGTACAAGACCCTTTTTAAAATTGCACTGCAGTTGGACTGCATATATGTGAATGACTGCAGCAGCGTGAACTAGGGCTTAAAGTGTATCTAAACCCAAGAACAAAAACTGTCAGTATTGCAGCTTGCTGGTTCTTAGATGTGGTGGCTGCATTTTTTTTTTTTTTTTTTTTTACACTTTGTTTTCTTTATTTTTATATGTCATACGTCCATTTACACTTCCTGTCCTATTGTGACAACTGTACTGAACAGCGTTGTTAGGACTATATAACATACGTAAAAGGTTTGTGCGTTGCAACTGTATAACACCTTCTTCCCCTCATTAACAGGGGGAGGGTGTTTTGTAGTTCACAGAGCTAGTAGGGATCAATGTTAACAGTCTGGAGACAGAGTACAGTACACAAGATTTCTGACTAGATGAACAGATATGTTTTTGCACTTGTCAAACAGATATAATAAAACATCGCACAGTGGCGGAGCACTGAAATACAGCAGACAGCATGAATTTGCTGGGTGGGTGAGTATGTTTTTTTTTTTTTTTTTTTTTTTAAACAGATGCCAGTAGACAAGGTAAGATGAGAAAAAAAAATGCAAGGTGGAGGAAAGTTCCTCTCTAGGCTTGGTCCAAATTGATTTGGTGTGAATTAATTCTGTTTTTAAATGCGATTCAAGGAGCACCTCAAGTTCAGTCAGCTTTGCAATGCGTTTTTCATGCAATTTGGCTGCAGGTGCAATTTGGATGTAGGGGTATCACTCTTTTTTTCTCTTTCTTTCTCTATCTCTCTTTCTCGCTCTCTCCTATGAAAAGCAGGTCAGAAACACAGCTGAGAAAAAAAAATGCAAATTACTCGCATTGTATTTGAATAGAACAGCTAAATTGCATTGTACCACTCAAATATTGATAGTTTTGCAGTTTGACAGTCCTTTGATATGGTGGCTGCATTTATTTTCTTTTTTTTACACATTTTCCCTTTATTTGCACCTGTCATTCTGCCATTTACATTTCCAGGCCTCTTGTGACAACTGTACTGAACAGCATTTTGTGTGTTAGGACTATATAACATACATAATAGGGAGTGTGTTGGGACTATATAACATCTTTTTCCCTCCTTAACAGTTGAAGGTGTTTTGTAGTCCATGGAGCTAGTAGGGAACAATGCTAACTGATAACAGCCTAGAGGCAGAGTACAGTACACAAGATTTTTGCCTGGCTGAACAGATATGTTTTTGCACTTTTCAAACAGATTAAATAAAACACATTCAATATATATTTAACAGACCAAAAGGGAGCAAATAAAAAAGTATTGTTAGAGTTTACATACACTTTAGGTTTCTGTTGTCTGTACATACAACAGAAACCTAAAGTGTATCTAAACTTACATTGTAAGCTCCAACCCTCTTGTATGGATCTGTATTGTTGCTGTATAAAACACGCCTATCATTTTCCACCTTGCAGTACTAGGGTCGCTGGTTCGAATCCCAACTACGGCACCACCTGCCTGGAGTTTGCATGTTCTCCCTGTGCCTGTGTGGGTTTCCTCCGGGTACTCCGGTTACCTCCCACACTCCAAAGACATGCTGGTAGGTTAATTAGCTCCTGTCTAAATTGTCTCTAGTATGTGTATGTATGAATGCAAGTTAGGGATCTTAGATTGTACACCCCTGGAGGATTAGGGACCGATGTGATTGTAAAAAAAAAAATATATATATGTGTGTGTATATATATATATATATATGTATATGTAAAGCGCTGCGTAAATTGACGGCGCTATATAAGTACCTGAAATAAATAAATAAATAAAGCACTGAGCAAACTGTTGGCGCTATATAAATCCTGTATAAGAATAATAATAAACGCTAACAATACTTTATTATACTTTTTTTTTTTTTTAATACTTTTTTTCAGATGGGAGATTTATTCCCAAATATTTTTTCCCACCAAGTAAATCGGTGTTTCGTTTCTATGGAACTGCTAATTTGCTAATCTTACTGCAAATTGTAGCTCAGTCATTCAGAAATTGACTTAGTGAAGCCTTTAGCAGTTCTGTATTCAGCCCTGTGACTTGGCTACACATCGCTGAAGAAGAGCAATTAGTATCAAGTAACATAATGATAAATTTTTAGCAACATTGGCTTCAGCAAATTGTAGCGTCAAGTCACTCCTACAACCTCACCTGTATAGAGGCTGCCATTCTTGATGTTTTGAAAATACTAGTTCATAGACTCTTATGTTGTTTCAGCACCAACTCATTGGTGTTGATTTAAAGGATAAGTTTACCTTTTGGACAAAAATAATAAATGCACATTTTTTTTGCAGGTAAAATGTGCATTTATTATTTTTGTCCAAAGGAGCCTGGAAAGCATTGTACCAGTGATCAGTAGATCGCTGATGCCATGCAGGTCTCCTGCAGACCTGTCAGAATATCTGCTTGCCGTATGGATGTACAGGCAAGCAGATTTTCTGACAGGAAGCTTCAATAAACTACCATAGCGCTCCACAGCACCGTGGTAGTTCATTGAAAACTACAAGCTCACAGCTGACAAGGCTGTCAGGACTTGTAGTTCATTCATTCACAAGGTCCATGAATGAATGATGCGGCCGTGTGAGCAGGCCCCCACATGTCCGCACTATTTTCAAATCTGACAGATAGCACGGGGAGACTTCTCAGAGGGAGAGGGGGTGGCGGTGGGCACAGCTGCAGCTATGGGAACATGTTAAATTTTCCACCCTAAAAACGGGTGGAACATGTAACATGTTCCCAAAGGTGACCTTATCCTTTAACCTCCCTGGCAGTATTCCCGAGTGAAGTTCGGGGTAAAGTTTCAGTACCACAAGCGGTAACCCCGAGCTACACTCAGGATTACCATGCGGCGCTGCTCCAGGATCCCTTCTGCACTTACCTTGTGCTGCGCTCCCGCGATGTCCCTCCTGCAGTGTCCCCTGTAATGTCCTCCGGCCGATGTAGGCATCTGTCATCCAGGTTCCGTTCCCTGCGATGTCGGGATGTATGGGAACGCAACGGCGGGAAATTTGTAAATGACAAAAAGTGACATTCACTAAAATCACATAGTAAAACATTCCTGTATCAAAGCATCTCACATACATTTTGTCCCTAGTGCTTTTGTCCTGTGCCCTGCCTGCATTTTTACTGTTCTTTCTTTCTGGAAACTGAGAAATGTCCATGGCGTCCAAACAGCGTCCCTTTAGGTCAAAATCGGTTTCAGACCAGCGATAGTAAATTAGAACTACTTGCAGAATTGAGTGATAATGATTTGTGGGGAAATTCATCATCAGACACTGAAAACGATTTTGCGACTTTGCTCAGTGATGTGCGAACTTGGCGCTATATTTCAAATTTCAGTGTTTTTGGTTTGATTATATTATTGAATTAAATTTATTATTATATTATTTTTTTTATAATTAATAAATTATTATAATTTATGATTTCATGTTTCAAATTTTAACAAACCTGGGATGTTTACTAGACTCTTGTTTGGACAGATTTCAGTGAGTTATTCCTAAAAATTACAGGCCTACAATAAAAAAATACACATTTCCATTCAAAAAATGTACCGCTTTGAGCACAGAAATATGGACTTAATCAGACCGCTAGGGAGGTTAAAGAAGAATGCCAAATATGGATATTTCATACATAGTTCCTTGTTCCAGCTTGGATCAATGTAACTATGTATATGACAGGCCTGGCTGATGCCCATAGACCCTGAATGTTCACTGAAGTAGACACCAATACTGCTGTGTATTTCAGTAAATTCCAGCTTCCAAGGGCATCAGCCAGGTATGTCATATACATGATTAGATTGGTCCAAGCTTTAACATATACGGTAGCTATTTTTAAAATACCCATAACTGGAATTTGTTAAAGGCAAAGAAGCTGTTCAGTTTGCAAGGGAATTTTCCCTTAACTTGGTAAATCTGGTGAAAACGAATTTTGTATACCCATTCATCTGCAAGCAAACATCCAGTTTTTTTTTATTTTCCTTATGTGTATTCTTTACAAACTAAATTTTCACCACATTTACTAAGCTAAGTAAAAATTCCCTTGGAAAGTGAACAGCTTCTTTGTTTTTGGTAAATCAGCCCCACTGACTCTTGTTGCCTTGTGCTTTTCTGCCTAGTAAGATTCTGCATTTTCTGTTAAATTCCAATGGAAATCTCTGCAACTCAGCCCAAGTTCATGATCCTGTGCCCTATCTGCTTTTTATCCTATTTTACTTCCATTATCTACTTTCTAGGGTTCAGTGAACCCTACTTTTATGCCATATCCTGCAGCGCTCATATAGACAGCATAAGCCAAAAGCCTATATGCACAGGCCTTTATAATGTTAATACACGACCACTTTTTTGATTTATGGTAAAGTTCGGCTCAGGAGGTTTTCTCAGTTTTAGAGAATTGATTTGTGATTTGAGATCAGTCTTTTGTGCATGGTTTGCTTTGAATGGTGGAAGCTTGGATCAGTGAACCACAATGAAAAGAAATAACCAGCCAGATTGTGGAAGCAGCTTGTTGAGCTTATGGTCCATTAATATTCATATATGTAAAAAATGCTAGTAATACAGATGAATTTATAACTGTTTTCAAAATGTTCAGTCTGTGTTCACTTTCTGTTGACCAGAAGACAATGTAGAGCGAGTATCATATGACCACCTGTTAGAACAGATGGTATCCAGACCACAGTTGCTAATATGATTTATAAATATGGCTCATTGAATGAAATGGATTTAAATACATTGTGTGTGTGTGATAACTTTTCTGTTCGCTGTTCATTTCTGTAACTGCAGGGTGAGCTCAGTACTCCAGAGAGATGTGAAGCAGTTTGGCAAACAGTTCCTTTTCGACCACAGAGATGAGACTTGTTGGAACTCTGATCAGGTAATCTTTGGTCTGGCAGGTAATTTTACCACTAGATGGTATATAACTACAAGAGAGCTCCTTAGAAAAAAAATGATAAAGTCATAACCCCCCCCTTTTTTTAAGGCCCCAATGGCATATTTTTAGTAAGTAAACATTTACTGTAAGAATATAATTAAAGCTAAACTCCGGGCAGAAATATTACGTAATTTTTTCAAAGGTTCTGTCTTACCTTAAAGCTGAACTCCGGGGGGTTGCTACTGCATTGCAAGAGTTAACTGCTTGTTTACGTCTAGGGGGCTGCAAAAAAAAATGATCCCCCTCTCCTGCAGGCTCCCTAGGCACTTTAGATCCGGTGTGTGCATTTTTTTTTCTACCTTATGCTCCAGCAGTCTAAGGTCCTTTGATGTCAACAACATCGTAGGACCGTAGAACAAAGTTGTAGCTTGGGGAGCTACAAAATACTGTAGCTGCTGACTTTAAATATAAGGACACTTACCTGTCCAGGCATCTAGTGCCATCGTCACCCAGGCTAGTTCTTCACTAGCCTCTGTGTTCCCGACGTTGGCATTGCAAGTAAAGGAAACCTGCTTCACAGCCAGTTTCCTACAGAGCGAGTCGTGCTGCACCTTGTGATTGGTTGCGTAGTCCTCTCGGACCTTTGAAGTGTCCCAGGAGACACTGGGGGAAAGGAGGGGGACCGAACTTCTGACTCAGTTCACCGAAGCGAATTAAGCCGGAAGTCAAATCCAGGTACCCAAATGTGGCAGTGGAGGGCGAAAGAGTGCAAACAAGCGGAGCTTCCCCTTTTTTTAACCGCCTCCCGTCTGCCATATAAGGAAATGACGGTCACAAGGCGGTCCTCTCGTTCTGGGAGGACCTCACGCTCTAACCGCGTTTGGGTGGCTCTGGGGGCACGCAGCGCGGCGATCGGTGGTGCGCTGTGTCCCTCAAAGACGTTGGCTTGGTCGTGTGATCAGCTGTGTCCAATCACAGCTGATCGCAGTAAATAAGGAAATGCCAGTTATCGGCATTTCTGTCCTCACGAGCTGTTCACGCTGACAGCTCGAGAGGAGAGCCAGTAATCGGCATTCCTCAGAGGGGACATGTACACTGATCATCAGGGCACTGATATGATCAGTGTAGCTCCAGCAGTGCCACCTGTCAGTGTCCATCAATGCCAGCTGTCAGTTTTCATCAATGCCATCTGCCAGTGCCACATTAATGCCACATATCAGTGCCTACCAGTGCACATCAATGCCACATATCAGTGCCCATATGAGCTGCCTTTTAGTGCCACCAGTCAGTGCCACCAGTCAGTGCTGCCAGTCAGTGCTGCCTATCAGTTCCGCCCATCAGTGCTGCCTTTCAGTGCCCATCACTGCAGCCTCATTAGCGCACATCAGTGAAGGAGAAAAATCACTTATTTACAAATTCTTATAACAAAAACTAAGAAACTTTTTTTTTTTTTTTTTTAACATTTTCAGTTGTTTTTGGTTTGTTTAGCAAAAAATAAAAAACCCAGATGTGATTAAATACCACCAAAAGAAAGCTCTATCTGTCTCAAAAAATTATAAAAATTTCATATGGGTACAGTGTTGCATGACCGCAATTGTCATTGAAAGTGTGACAGCGCTGAAAGCTGACAATTGGCCTGGCCATGAAGGGGATATAAGTGCCCTGTAGGCAAGTGGTTAAAGAACAAGTCTATTTGAATGTGACTACTATTAAATAGAAACAAATTTTGTTTTTAAAAAATAAAAAAAAGTTTTTCTTTTGCTTGTCAGGTTGTTACATTACATTGTTTTTCAGGAACACTGTTCTAAACTGTTTAGCAGCTCCATTATTTTATTTTTTTACATCAGTGGCATTTTAACAAATGGGAATTTCCAATGAGAATGTTGATTCAAAGGAACAGGGCGCTGTGCACTCTGAAGTTTTTGGGGGCTTGCATAGCACAACTGGTTAATATGTTCATGGTTGGTTTGATCTAATACCATTCGCCTCTGCTGATTTTTTTGGTTTGGGGAGGTGGGGCAAGTGAGTGGTATAGAATTGTTGTTGGATACATGCAGGCTTTGCATAATAAGCAGTGTCAGACCTGACTTTAATAAAGATTTATGCAAGCCATAGACGGGTCGTTTATCGGCCAAATTTTCGTCCGCATGAAAAATCGGCCGATAATCACTCTGTTAGTGGGGCCAGCCCGTCGGCTGTTTTTCGTGGATCTCCTCATTTATTTTTTATCGGTCATGCTGGAAAATCCGCGAAAAATGGACGCTTTTCGTGGACATGGGTTGCAGTAACGGGGCTGACCGATTTTTTGTTTATCGATAAACGGCCCGTCTATGGCCTGCCTTAGAAACAACTGGGCTCCTTGTTTGTTTTCTCTCATGATATCTCCCATCAGCGTTCACTTTCTAGGGCACTTTTCCTCTCTCCTTTTTATCTAGTTTCCCTCTTCATCAACAGTGTACCCTAGTTATACAGAGTGAATTCTGTAGGGCAAGACAGGCTGTATATTGCAGCCCACATTTTATGAACTGGCAGGCCACTGTAATGCAATAATACTGCAAAGTATAGCTGAAACCGTTGGATATCTTCTCACTATTAATAAAAAGCTTAGTGTATTAAGCCAGAATGGTCAGGATGAGATACTGTGCTTTTTTTTATACTGTAAACCCACTTTGAAGAGAAATTTTGAGGTTGCAGAGTTTGGGCCTGTAAGTCTTATTCTGACTTCACAATTTAGCAAGTCACTGGCCGGAATAAGTAGACACCTGGAAAAAAAGGCAACAGTCATAGATCCCATATTTTTATTTTTAAAGGTTTCACTTAAGAATGCCATTATGGAAGGAATTACTTCTAAATCTAAATCCATATTTTTTTTTTTTATGTCTGACCTTTTCATTACCACCTAGTTTACCTTAGTAGACCCTAGTATTTTGGCACTGTGCCCTCTATGCACATTCAACTGTAGTGATACAGTCAATTAAATCTGTGTATCTCTTTCACCTGCAATTTTAACAGATGGAAACTAGTATGCTAGAAAGATTCATTAGCTTATGAATGTACCCTTCTTATTCCAGGGGTCATGTCAGTGGATCGTACTAGAATTCACTCAAAAAGTCAGTGTGTCTGAAATCCACATCCAGTTCCAAGGTGGCTTTTCCAGTAGAAACTGCATTTTAGAAGGTAAGAACTGAACCGTCCTCACACAGGTTTCAAGAGGGGTTACACGAGAGAGACTAAATGCTAATGAAGTTCGTAGAACACCAGCCAAACATGATACATATGTTGAAGCACACAAATCAGCATGCAGCATCAGAGTGTGCATTCCACCATCAGTAACATATCCTTGTGTGCAGACACCCACACCTTGAAGTTATTGATCACTGTGTTGACAATATGTTGTTAATCGTGTATAATTCAGAGGTGCAAATCACAAGGTTCATTAAAGGGTAAGTTCATCTTTTTACAAGCAATAAAAAATGGTGAACTAACTCCAAATATTTCCTGACCATTCCTCCAGACTCCTCTAAACATAGTAATCTTGACTCCCTGTGCTGCAGTTGCTGTAATCTGTACACTGCAATATACAGTCCTGCAGTGAGTATCCATTATAATGGTAGCAATGGCAAGCTCTCATTGGTGAGCGTGAACATATGAGAAGCTCTTCTTTCTTGTTTGACACCGTATTCGAAGAAGCCCAAAATGGGCTTCTCATTGGTCAGCATGGTCACATGGCAGCTGTGACCAATGAGTGCTTGTCATTACAAGCATTATGATGGAAACTCACTTCGTGACTATGTATTGTGGGGTACAGACCACTACAGAGGCAGCAGGACCGCTATGTGTTGCAGGGCCCAGAGGAGTGGCCTGGATATTTGGAGTTAATTAACGTTTTTATTTATCATAAAAAGCTGAACTTACCCTTTAGTGCACTTTTGGTCTATACACTACTGACAAAATAATGCCAACACTTTGATCAAAATCCTTAGGGTCAGGGTGAAGGTGTCTACACACAATAACATGCTACCCTTTAAGGCAAAGTGGTTCCTGTCTAATTTTGATTTGAAATAATGTATTGGAACACCATTTGTGATAGCGGCGTTTAGTATGGAGTCATTGTGTGATAGAGGTATTTGTTAAAACTGAAAAGAAAGGCGCAAAATGCTACAGTTCTGTATCCATTATTACATCATTCAAGCTGAACTTCAAAAAAACAGCTAAATACAGTGATGAAATTCACATATGAATGTAGTTTACCTGCCAAGGGATTTGTATTTCTGGCCATCCAGCCGTAAGATTTATACAGCTTTTTCATACTGTACAACCCCTTCTGGGTTGGCAGAAGACCTGATTTTTTTTTTCTGCTGTAGTTAGGTAATACTTACCAGTTTCATCCCAATTCCCAGCCTGTTACTGGATAGTGAGGAAAGTAACAGCAAACGGATAACCTCAATTCTCTGTCACTCTGCTCTGACCTCCTATCAACGTAATCATTGTACTGCAGCACAACTGAGTGGCATCTTGTGCTGCTTCTCCCTCCCAGGGTCTGCGCTCTGCTCTACAGTGGACTGTAAAGAGCAGATACCAAGTCAAATGCAGGTACTTATACTAACATTAAATACATTCAATGATGTATTAATAAATACAAAGCTGCGTTTGTTTGTGCCTTTTTTATCTGCCTGGATTTTGGCTTTAAAGTGATTGTAAACCTTTTTTTTTTTTTTTAACTTAATAAACGTCTCACACACACTTGCTCTGTGTAATGGTTTTGCACAGAGCAGCCCAGATCCTCCTCTTCTGGGATCCCCCACCAGTACTCCAGGCTCCATCTCTTTGGCGGCGCCACTATAGAAAGCTGCTTCCTATGGGGGGCACTTGTGTGGGTTTCAATCCAGAGCAACGCTGCCTGTGTCTATAGACACAGACTGCATGGCTTGATCCTACCCCGCTCCTTCATCACAGAATTTGACAGCAGAAGGAGTTCATGGCTCTTACTGCTATCATTCTGCCCTATGAGGAGGTAGAGAGAGGAGAGAGCCACTGCTGGATTGCGATCAGGCTCAGGTAAGTATAACAGGGGACTGGGGGGGGGGGGATCCTGTAGCACATAAGGTGTTTTACCTTAATGCACAGAATGCGTTAAGTTGAAAAAAACTCAAGCCTTTAGAACCACTGTAAGGGCTTATTTAGACGTGTTCTGAAAATTTAGATATCGTGACTGCTCATTAATGCACCTATCATTACGACGCATTCTTTTTTGTATTTGTTACATAATGCTTGTCAGGTGCTTCCTCTGTGTTGGTTAGCTATTTTTTTTAAAGGGGAAGTGATGTGCAGGAAGTGACCAGCTTTGAGGAGTGTTTAGTTTGTGGTGTGATATCTGGCATATTTAGTGCTTCTTGAATTCTTGAATTGGCTGAATTTTATAGACCCAATTGTCTTTTTAACCAGCTGCCGACCGCAGATAGCCGAATGACGGCTGCACTGCGGCCGGCCAGTTCTGGGTGGACGTCATATGACGGCCTCCCAGAACGCGCTCTCCTGCGCGCCCCAGGGGGCGCGCACCCGGCGATCTCTGTGATCGCTCTGTCCTACGGACACAGCTGATCACGTGATGTGGTAAAAGGCCAATCACAGCGGCCTTTTACCACCTGATCAGCGGTGTCCAATGACACGCTGATCAGAGGGAAATGCAAGTGCCGGTTCTCTCGGCTGCACTTTCCTCACGCTGTCAGATCGTGAGGAAAGTACTGCCGAGAACCGGTAGTTGTCAGAGCGGGGATCGGCACCGATCATCGGGGCACTGATGATCAGTGCCCTGATGATCGGTGCCCAGCAGTGCCACCCGCAAGTTCCGCCCAGCAGTGCGCCCACTAGCTCCGCCCACCCGTGCCCAGCAGTGCACCCACCTGTGCCACTCTGCAGTGCCACCTACCTGTGCCCAGAAGTGCCACCTACATGTGCCCAGCAGTGCCACCCACCTGTGCCCAACAGTGCCACCCACCAGTGCTGCCCACCAGTGCAGCCCAGCAGTGCTGCCAGTCAGGGCCACCAGTCAGTGCCCAGGGGTTGTGCCAGTCAATGCCCAGCAGTGATGCCAGTCAGTGCCGTCTATCAGTACCCATAATCAGTGTCACCTATCAGTGCTGCATATTAGTGCCGCCTATCCGTGACCCCTAATTAGTGCTGTCTATCAGTGCCGCCTATCCGTGCCACCTCATTAGTGCTGCCTATCAGTGCCCTTTAGTGCTGCCTATCAGTGCCGCCTATCAGTGCCCATCAGTGCTGCCTCAACGCACATCAGTGAAGGAGAAAAAATACCTGTTTGAAACATTTTATAAAAGAAACAAATAAACTTTTTTCTTTTTTTTCAAATTTTTTGCAGTTTTTTTATTTATAGCGCAAAAAGTAAAGCGCCCAGTGGCGATTAAATACCACCAAAAGAAAGCTCTATTTGTGAGAAAAAAATGATCAAAATTTCATATGGGTACAATGTTGCATGACCGCGCAATTGTCAATCAAAGTGCGGCAGCGCTGAAAGCTGAAAATTGGCCTGGTAAAGAAGGGGGTATAAGTGCCTGGTAGGCAAGTGGTTAAAGACAAAATTATGGATAGCTGTACACTGCTTAAAAAGTGTTCCTTTACTTTTTTTGATCAGAGTATAGCATCAATGTCAATTAAACTCCTGTGATATTAATGTGGTCAGTTAAGAAGCAGAGGGGGTTGTTAATCAGTTTCAGCTGCTTTGGTTTTATGAAATTAACAACAGATGCAATGAGATGACCCCCAAAACAGGAATGGTTTTAAGGGAGGAGGCCACTGACATTTTCATCCCTACTCTTCTCTGTTTTTCACTAGTTTTGCATTTGGCTAGGGTGCATTAGGAGCATGCCCCAAAGTTGTCAGCCATGCATACAAGCACGTGGGGCCATACAAACTACTGAGCAACATTTTGAGTTGCTGCAATGAAATTTCAGCAAAATGGACTAGCCTGTTGCATAATTTTTTAACTTTTATTTTCGGGGTGCCTTTGAATTTAGTTCTCTGTAGGTTGATCATTTTCATTTCAAACAAATGATGGGGCATCCTTAGAGTCCTAACACATTACCCAGTCCATATCAGTATAGATATCCAGCATGATATTTTTCCCCATTGAGATCTGATGTGTTTTCAAAGTGTTCTATTAATTTTATTGATCAGTGTACTTGGATTCCTGAACTATCCTCTTCCTTATGCGCAGCTTGACCTATATAAGGGCAACTACAATAAAGATAGCAATGCTGTTTAGCTAGCAGACAGTAAATGGCTGCTGTAACTTTGCTCCAATATGCTGTGTGATTTCAAATAGTATTGTGGGCTACTTGATTCCTCTGGATGTTTTCTTCAGCACCTTATAAACAATTCTCATAAGCATCTCAAACGTGTCATACATTACAGAGTCTTTGTGGAGTGTTTACTTTGACACGAATAGAGGGGGTTGGGGGAGTGGTAAAGCTGCAAAAGCAACATGCTGGATACATTTTGGTGCAAAACAACTGTGGGGTCGATTTACCAAAATGGGAGAGTGCAAAATCTGGTGCAGCTGTGCAGAGAAACCAATAATCTTCCAGGTTTTTTTTTTTGTCAAAGCTTAATTAAACAAGCTGAAGTTAGAAGCTGATTGGCTGCCATGAACAGCTGCACCAGATTTTGCACTAGTTTTAGTAAATCACCCCCCTGTGTGTTCTACATTGTCAGCTGCAATGGACATCATTGGTAGTGTTCACATCTATGCATTTAGCTTTAAAAACAATGATAAAATGTAACATATTTAATAATTCTTACCTTGCAGGATGCCTAAAAAATGAAGAGTTAAAGACAGTAACAGAGTTTTATCCAGAAGACATCAATGCCCTTCAGATATCCTTTTTTAAACATGCCAATTGTCAGATTTCAAAAGCTTGATTATTTGTTAGTATTATTTAGGCATTGAAAGCAGCAGAGAATTCTTGGGCAAGTGGGTAACATCTTTGTTACTTAACAAAGAATTCCAGGAAAAGTATAACTTTATACACTTACTTTGGACCCGCTTGACTAAAAAAAATGGCCCTGATACAACCACCGTGTGACCAATGGTGAATTTTTACTCTACTATTTTAGCCTAAGCTACTTATTACAGGCAGGGCGTCCTCTGCTGACAGGTGCTACTGCGACATCCTCTCCGCGCCACTGCCACACCCGAGAAACCTTGTATTTCTTCATTGAATACAAGGCTTCTTATGCTTAGCCAAGGGGGGAGAGGCAGGTGAATGACATCATAATCTCTGCCTCAGCCAATCAGATGAAGTTGTCTTGGCTGCTTTAAAGGATAAAATACAAGGGATTATGGCAAATGGAACACATTCAAACGGGATCCACTACTTTTCAATCTGTTAATAAATGATCTGGCTAATAAAATATAAACATTGCTATTTTATGAGGACACAAAATTATGTGTAGGTATTAAAATGAATCATGCTAGTACATGATGTTTATGCAGAAAAACCTCAGCAGAGTGGCAACATGGGAAGTTTAAATAGCACGAAAAAAATAATGCTGGAAAACTGTTGTTTCAGCTAGGTTGCCAACAGCACTGCCTCTGGTAAATTAAATGTAATAGTTATGGAAAACAGAGCTGGAGTAGGACTTGGGAATACTAGTTAACATTAAGGCTCCCACTAGTTCTGGGTTTTTTGGGGTTTTTTTCAGCCAAAAAAACGCCCCTGCCAAAAACTTCTGATTACAGTCTGTGTGCATGGACACATAGGATAACATGCTGGGGAGTTTACTGGCTGTAGAAAAAAAAGCCAAAAAACAGCCGCTGTAAAAACATCCAGTGTGCATGAGGACTTAGCTGCAGTTAAGGAAGTAAAAGTTTGCAAAGGTGGCACAAGCAAGTAAACTTTAAAAAAAAAAAAAAAACCTTTAAAAAAAAAAAAAACAAGCTGGGGAGAGGGGGAAGGTCGATGTTGTTTTTTTTTTTTTTTCCGAAAACCTTTACATTTGTTAGTAACTTCACTTTTGTATTGCTTGAAAATGGTAAAGACTAGAATTTCTTGGTGTGTATCAGGAATGTACTCGGCTACTAAGTTCCGTTGTGGACTGACAGCACACAGTATTTAAGTGGAACTAAAGTCTGATATGAAAAAACCTGCGGGCGATAGGCTCTTTTTTTCAGAGACATGCAATATCTCTTCTGCAAAACAATAAACTGACCTGTCTGCTCCTAGTGTTTTGCAGAATGTACGCCAGGCTTTGCATGCACAGCTCAGTTTACGTTCAGGTACCGTGCCTTTGTGTCAGGATGTCTGCACTCCTATGCGGGAGTCACGTCTTCCCGCTCTGACCAGTCAAGATGGCCAAAGGTCACCACCAGAAAGAAGCCAGTGCCGGCGAGGGACCTTGTGGATGTCAGACCAATAAGTCAAAGGCAAGTAAAGCAGTGTTTAGTTTCACTTTAAGTAAACTGAGTAGTGTCAGCCTTGCCATGTTGTTTGTTTGTTTTTCGCAGCTATTGAACATATATAAAACAAAAGGATTTCAATAATCTATTTCAGTGTTTCTCAACTGGGGTTCCGCGAGAAGTCCCCAGGGGTTCCGCCGCAATTCACCATTGTAGAGGATGTATATTCGCCCAATGGTGAATTCAGTGTGTACTGACAGTGAGTACTGTCGGGGCACATTGATACCTGATGCTCCCCTGTAGTTCCGGCTGCTCCCTGTGACTACACTGCAGAGGGTGGAGGGTGACAAGAGGAGAGCGTGTGTAGCATGTTTTACTTCCTCATCAGTGCCTATTGATTGCAGAATGTTGCAGCAAGGTGAGCTTTGTGCAGCATACAGTACCTGTACTGCTACTAATCCTAACTGTACTCCACTGGTCCCCGCCAGCTCGCCTCTTCTGTCCATTCCAGGCACCTGACATCACAAGGGATGGATAAGAAAGGAGAGCTGGCGGGGATCAGTGCGCCAAATCCGACATGTACCAACAACTGCCATGAGCAGCTCTTCATGTGGAAGAAATTAAACAGTACTACAGACCCCCTGTGACCCGGTGACCCTCCTGCTGTGCTCTACCCTTTTGACACCCTGCCCTGCCCTGGTGACCCCTCTGTACCCTGACTTGTTGAATTCCCTGTGCCCTGACCTGCTGAAACCTCTGTGCTCTGCCCTGGTGACCCATCCGTGCCCTGACCTGGTGGTCGATTGTAAATGTTAGTGACTGGCGAGAGTCATGAAGCAGTTTCCTGCAGTCGCAATCTGATGTCATCATGTACAATGCAGGATCAGCAATCCCGAATTGTAAGTGAGGATGCTCAAGTCTTGCGCACAACTCAGAGCATTGGAGGGAAGATGTGAGTGCCAGCTGATTGGGGAGTGAGGGATAAAGTAAGCAAAAGCTGCATTTAAAGGAACCTTTGAAAAACTGAGCATTTATCCAGGGGGAGCCCCATTGCAAGGGTAGTTTAATTTTTCCCAAAGTACAGCTTTTATTCAGAAATGTTGAGTTTACAAAATCATGCCTAATTTCTATACTTTCATATTTACCATTTGCCTTAACTTCTCTGGTCCACAAATTTGTATTCGCAGAGCGGTGTGTTGAAAAGCTGCGGCTTTCTTTCCCAAGTAGCACGGATTTCTTTGGAAGGATTGTAGTTTATCACCTCGATGTACGTGGCTGCAAGCCTTGAGTATGTTACTCAGAGGCACATATGAATGCAAGTTCATTCCATTGTTACTGAATGCTACAACATTCCCAGGTGCTTATCAACCAAAGGAGTAATGAGCACTCGGTGCAAAGTCAGACATTCTGCAAAGGAAAATGTTTGGCAAAAGGGATCACATGCCTTGTACTTTGTGTACAGTCCTTTGTTTATAACCGTTGTGAAAACATTTTAATGGGTGTGATGCATGTCACAACCTGAAATACTCTATATGTAAACTCAAACACCTACATTGCATATAAGATTTTTATGTATTAATGTCATTTCAAAAGTCATTTTATTATGCATAAATATGCTTTCATTAAAATAAAAATTGGTGATCCTGCCATGACGATCCTTGATCAGGCATGTTTCGTTACAGGATGACCATGCTCTATCCGTCTTCCAGTTCTGCATTGTCACTCTGTCACATGCTCACCCAGTGCAGACTGTAAGCAGATGTATGCAGAATGCAAAGGCATAGTTCACTGTTGTATTCAACTGGAGTACATGTTTGTAGATGAGAATTACATGCAGGAGTGCTGATATGCAACAAATGATGAAAAAGGTGAAAACGTATTGTATCGGAAAAAGGTAATTATTTACGATACAAAGTGCTCATGATAGGTTAACTTTAAAAAAAAAAATAGATGCACTTTTTTTGCAAGTATTTTGTTTTTTTCTAAGGAGCCTGTAAAGCATTTCACCCGCAATTTTTGCAAGCATTATGTGTATTTTTTTTTAAGCAGCCTGTAAAGCATTGCACCTCTGCACATTCTGTCCCAGAAAGAAAAGAAAGTAGACACAGTGAGTAAAACAACACACTTGCACACAGAACATTTTAGGACACATTTAACCCCTTGATCGACCCCCCCCCCCCCCACCCCAGTTAACCCTTTCACTGCCCTGTCACCAGTGTCATTAGTACAGTGTCCAGATTTTTTGCTGATCTGTGTATTAGTGTTGCCGGCGACTTCAGATAGCGTTAACGTCAGCGTTCCTCCCAGATGGCGTCAGACTGCCCATCATTACACCAGTCATCACATTTAACCCCTTGATTGCCAGGAACACGCTCACATACACAATAAACCTCCATTACTAGTATAGTGTCTGAATGGATCAATATCTTTGATCAGATCAGCACTATATCAGCATTCACATTAGTATAGTGTCCCCAAAAACGCAGCGTTAGTGAGATCAGCCCCGGAACCTGCCAGCACCTGCGTTTAGCCCCTATGCTCCTCCCCCCTCTCCCCCAGCAAGTGCAGTGTCAGTAGATCACTGTCACTTGACACAAAAACACAGTGTTTGCAGAATCAGGCCTGATCTCTGTTAGCACTTTCCAGTAACTTTTTTTTTTTTTTTTTCTGTAGCAGTTCAAACAGTCCCTGACAGCCAGGTGCTTTTTTTTTTCCCCATGATTCGCACTAGGTACCTATGAATTTAGTGACCAAAATGTCAATCGAAAGGTAATCTATTGAAGAGGTCTACAGGATTCTGAGCGTGTCAGGTGAGAGCGAAGGGGAAGACTCACTGACACAATTAGCCTCAGAATACGACTGTAGACAGCAGCGGCACCCTGACAGCAGCGGCTCAGACGATGGAGAAGAGGTCCCTGCTAAGGTTTGGCGTACTCGACCCCGTTCCCAGGTTGCTGAGACGTTACAATTGCTTGATGACTCTTATATGCAGCAGAGTGCCAGTACTAGTACAGCGCTGTGAGCGAACAATTGCTGCTATATAAATACTGTATATAAATAATAGTGCCGCTTTACCTTTTGGTGAACTGGTGAGCACCAGTGGCCTAGTACATCCTGAACTTATACATACCAGCACTGCAGTATCATTTGGTGACATGGCGAGTCACATAAGTGCAGTACTAGCTGGTGCGGTGGCGAGCAGTGTAGTGTCCCGCAGCCACCAAGAATTTGCACACAGGCCCGTAGAACCCCTAGTATCCTACCAGATATGCTTGCAAATCCCAGTTTGCAGCCCACAAATTCTGCAGTACCCGTACTTCCCCCCATTCACTGTCCAACCCGGAATTCAGGTGGAAACAGCAAATTTAGGTACTCCCCTTGATTTTTTTGGAGCTGTTTTCCACAGAAGATCTGTATGCATTGATTGTGGATCAAAGCAATTTATATGCACAACCCAAAGTCTGTTTTTTTATTTCAATTTGCTTTCTATAATGCTTTTGTGCTTTGCAAAGCAACTGGATGAAGTGGATCCTTCCCAAAATTCCAGGAAGAGATCATCACGGCCCTTTTGTATGCAGAAGGTGCTGTGGCCCAAACACCCAACACAGATGCAGGTAGCCGGCTGCATGAGAGGCATTTTCCCGATGCCATTCCTAGTAACTCAACCCAAAGGACACCCCAAAAAAGATGTAGTGTCTGTAGCAGACATGGAATTAGGCGTGGCACCTGCTTTTTCTTGTCCCTCCTGTCCTGGCCAACCTGGTCTCTGTCTCACGCACTGCTTCCATCGCTACCACACACTAATGGAGTATTAGTATAGGGTACAGCACGGCACAGTTCAGGGCACATATTTGCACAGGGTCTAGAAAGATGTTAGGTAGTCAGGAAACTGGCTATTGCTTTTTGAGAGACCCTACAGTCTGGTTAAGTTCAAGTTAAAAAAACGTAAAAAATAAAAAGTATGAATACAAAAAAAATGTAAAATTTTAAAAACCAAAAATAGGTATTTTTTTGTTTTGTTTTTACTGTTCTACTGTTACGATTTTACTGTTTTATTGTTAACCATTGCTTTTTTCTTTGCAGGAATGCCATTCAGCTGCAGCACCAACTTGTTTATTCTGACAGCAACAGGATCTTGCACTAAGAATATACATAAATAGGTGTGTGCAGCGCTGTTGGATGAGATCTTTCATGCACAGTAAAAAAAAAAAAAAGAGCATATATGCCAAAGCATGGGGGCCTTGAGTGGCCAGTGGGTGGATGGCCCCTATGCTTCGGTATATTTAAAAAAAAAAATGGAAGAGATTTCTTCATCCACATCGACTGATGTGAATAGAGGAATCTGTTAGGTTCTTATTTTTTTGTTGTTCTGCCAGTGGGCTAAAAAAAAAAAAAACATTTCATGTTTGCCCACCATTAGAAGTGGGTGGATGCAGGGCAATATATTCTAATGGTGGGCATACCACACACTTTTTCTGGCAGTGGTTTCTTTTTTTTTTTCCATTCACACGCTGCATAAAAAAAAAAAATAACATAACATACATACCCAACAAGGACCAGCGACATACTGGTACATCACTGAACTTTGAGTGGTTATACCAGGATGATGCCTGCACAGCGATCTATGTGGCACAAAAAAAATTGCAGCACCCACCATTTTATTCACTAGGGTGTTTGCTTTAAAAAATATATAATGTTTGGAGGTTCAAATTAATTTCCTAGCAAAAAATACAGATTTTGTGAAGAAAAAGTGTCAGAAAAGGCTTGGTCTTCAGGTGGTTAGAAGAGTGAATGATGTGTGGCATAAACTTCTAATGCTGGGCATAAAATGTCCCCACCACCCAAAATGACCCCTTTTTGGAAAGTAGACACCCCAAACTATTTGCTGACAGGCATGTTTTTGGAAAATGACAAAAAAAACATTTTACACAAAATTGTCACTTAAATGATTTATTGCTCACACATGCCATGGGTATATGTGAAATTACTCCCCAATATACATTGTGCTACTTTTCCCGAGAATGGGGGTACCACATGTGAGAGACCTTTTGGCAGGCTAGCCAAGTTCAGGACCCCAAAATCCAACAAGCACCTTCAGGCTTTTAAAGGGCTTTATTTCCACATTACACTTCCTGACTACCTATTACAGTTACGGAGGCCCTGAAATGCCAGGATAGCACCAACCCCCCCAAATGACCCCTTTTTGGAAAGTAGACACCCCAAGGAATTTGATAAGAAGCATGGCGAGTATTTTGCAGATCTCATTTGTTGCCACAAGTTTTTGGAAAATAAAAGAAAACAAAACAATTTTTGTTTTATTTTTTATATTTAAAAACCTTGTGAGAAAAAATGAGATCTGCAAAATACTCACCATGCCTCTTTTTAAATTCCTTGGGGTGTCTACTTTCCAAAAAAGGGTCATTTGGGGGGGTTTGGTGCTAACCTGGCATTTCAGGGCCTCCGAAACTGTGATAGGTAGTGAGGAAGTGAAATGAGAAAGTTACGGACCTTCAGGGTTTCAAAGTGGTCATTGGATTTCAGGCTCCTGTATGTGGCTAGGCTCCCCAAAAGTCTCACATGTGGTATCCCCATACTCGGTAGAAGTAGCAGAATATATTTTGGGGTGTACTTCCACATATACTCATGGCTTGTTTGAGCAATATATCATTTAAGTGACAACTTTGTGTACAAAAAAAAAATGTTGCCGTTACTTTTCAACCACTTGTCTCTACCCACAGTATGTTTTACTGAGAGTGGGCGGCAGCTGCATGCACAGCGATGTATCCCCCAAAGTAGCGCAGTGTCACTATGGGGACACTGAACAACTCTGATGACAGTATATAAGAAAAATGTTCAAAGGAAAAAAGTTTTAAAAATTATTTTTCCTTCTTTTTTACATACTGTCCCCAGTCCGTATCCCTGATCACCACCACACCAGTTACATGATGATTGCTGTACTGCACTGGTGACTATATATATATATATAATATATATATATATATATATAATAATTCTTCACCTGCCAAAAATTTATGACAAAAAAATTACAGCTTCAAAAAACTTGCCCTGCCTTTTACTAAATACCTGTCTACTTTCCAAAAAGGGGTAATTTGTACTTTCCCGGCAGGTTAGGGCCTCAATTAATGAGATGGGTTGTCAGTACATCAGAAATTATTAATTTTTAAATACATACACTCACC